CATCACTTTCACCGATGGCGGAACTATTCAGACAGAAATGGTAGTACGATTTGTATTCACAGTAGCCACTCGACGGTGGATCACAAATAATCAAGACCTTGATAACTCGACGTTATGTGGTATTTGTGTCGCATTATATTACACTCTCTTTACATTTGTCTTATTGCGAGTAAATTGTTTGCAACGCGTCGTTTATTTTATCAAAAGTAGTAGCGAAAAACTACATATTATGATGCCTCTACGAAAAATTTATTATACGAAAATACATGTATTACTTGTTTGACGGTGTAGTGTCGGTGTAAGAATTTAAACCCCATTTGGTCACGTGGGTGTGGCAAGAGGCAACAGAGGGAAACAAATCAGCAAATCAGCAAACAAAGCAGCAACTTCCTAATAACAATTTAAGATCCTTTTTACTGGAAAAGAGGCATTTCATCTTATTCGTCACGACTGACAACGCATCTGCATTTTAATTCGCAAACTAGGATAGATGTAGATGTTTGTGGACCACACCAAACACTTAGCATCAGGTGGATTGTGTGCTCGCTTGTCACCCTTATCCTATAAAAAAAAAACTAGAAAAAAAACTGCGCTTTCCAACCCGCCTGCCAAGCGTGGCAACTATGGCAAAAATCCTCGTATGAAGAAATCTATGGAGAGGAGACTTTTGATGAGTTATAACGGTAACGGTGATTAGTTAGTTACAGCTCACATTCATCCACTGCTGGACAAAGGCCTCCTCCCGTTTCTTAGAGAAACTAATATTGTATATTTAATGAGGTACGTGAGGGTAATATGGTCACCTTAAGCTTTGTCGCGCTATAAAACCAAAACTAGGAGAGGGATAGAGACAAATACGCAAAGAGATTTAAATATATAGGTATACTAACTAATTAAATGTCTTTGCAAATACACAATGTCGTATACTATATTTGATAGTTGTTGTTACCACACACAATTATGTATAAGGTTATATTTAATGTCTTATATTGTACTTCTTTTTTTTTTTGCTGCTTTTTGCTTTATTTTAAATTTTGTGTTATAATTATATAGAAGGTTTAGGCTTTTTTCGTTTTATCGAAGGACTAAACTACACGTAACAGCTGTGCTACGTTCGTGACGCCAATGAATAGGTTTCTTGGCTGAAAATCAGCGCTGTGTGAGGCCATACTCACACAACACATGCTGAGCCAACCCCTTTTCGGCACAATGCGACCTTTTTTATATATATCAATATGTGCTTTTACTTTCATGTGTATGAACTGCCTGTGCTGAATAAATGTTTTTTCTATTCTATTCTATTCTATTCTATAACTAATATATTATGAAAAAAATTGCGAACAAGCCATGGCAATTATTAGGAACATTTCGTAAAATCAACTTACATGGCTAACGATACTACACAATACTAAAATCGACAAAAAATATATAAAATTATGTCAACTGTCAAAATGGCGTCGATAAAGCAGCGCCCCTTTAACCCTTTATTATCTGATTGACTGATGAAGAGCTATATCGTATCACAGAGCCATCCGTGCAGACAAGGCTGTAGTTCTTGAGTTATAAGAAAGTGACCATATTAACCGGATGACAATATTACCCTCACGTACTATACAATACACAATACTAAAATCGACAAAATACTTATAATAATGTCAACTGTCAAAATGGCGTCGATAAAGCAGCTTTTTACAACCCTTATTATTTGATTTTTATTATTAATCAAATATTACCCTTATTATTTGATTTATAACCCTTTATTATTTGATTGACTGATAAAGAGCTACATCCATGCAGACAAGGCTGTAGTTTTGAGTTATGAGAAAGTGACCATATTAACCGGATGACTATATTGCCCTCACGTACAATATTTGGGTTATACAAAAACTATTGTATATAGCTACTCCTACAAGGCAGAATACATTATACTTACGACAATTTGTATTAAGAAATCTATGGAAAGGAGACTTTTGATAGGCTATAAGCTATAACGATAACGATAATTAGTTAGTAACAGCCCACATTCATCCTACTGCTGAACATAGGCCTCCCTTAAGGAATGCCACAAAGCACGGTTCTGGGCCACCTGCATCCATCGACTTCCTGCATGTCTTACCAGGTCGTCACTCCATCTAGTGGGGGGTCACCCTTCACTTCGCCTACCGGTACGAGGCTGCCACTCAAGAACCTTTTTTCCCCATCGGTTGTCGGTTCTTCGAGCTATATGGCCGGCCCATTGCCACTTCAGCTTACTAATCCGTCTGGCTATGTCGGTTACTCTGGTTCTACTGCGGATATCCTCATTTCTAAGTCTATCACGCAGAGAAACCCCGAGCATAGCCCTCTCTATAGCTCGTTGAGCGACCTTGAGCGTTCTCATACGGCCAGCAGTGAAGGATAACGTCTCAGATCCATAAGTCATCATTGACATCACGCACTGGTTGTACAATCTCGTTTTTAGGTTTTGAGATATACCTGACGAGAAGATGTGTTGTAATTTCCCGATCGCTGTCCAGCCGAGTTGAATCCTTAGATTGACCTTTCGATCGAATTTGGACTTACCTAGTCGGACTATTTGTCCCAGGTAAACATACTCGTCAACAATTTCGAGCTTAGTGCTCCCAGTAGCTACTAGATAGCCAGTAGATAGGTGTGACATGGTCATTAAACATGATTCTTATTTTGTCTGTTTATTTATTGCATTTATTTATTTATTTACAGCATCCACTTACCATCAGATGAACTTTTTGCTTGTTTGTCTTCCTTACTGCCATAAAAGTCACCACTAAACGAAACATTTTATTTTACTATAATCTTCTGCGCTCTCCTCTCGAGTGTAGCGGTGCGTTCTGTCACTCTACCAATTATACGTGTTCTATTTTCATATCTTAAGATTGAATTTGATTGATTGATTGGCAACTATAGCAAAATCCTTCTTTTCAGACAATCTATGGGGCCTATGTTCAGCGGTGGACCTTTATTGGCTCCAATAGATGAAAGGATGGAATTACTTACACTTTTCAGAGTACACGTCGGAATGTATTCATTTATTAGTCCTTTACTGCACTCAATTTAAGACTGTAGCTTCCAAGAGTTAGGCTGATTACCTTTTGGAATTCTTTACCAGTTAACCCTGGTTGGAATGGACAACAAATACCATCTACAATCGTTGAAAAATATATTGAACAGAATCTTATCATGAATTTAATTATCTCTAGCTCTTACAAGTATAATACAGTACGATGGCTCCGTGGTGCAGTGACTTAACATTTGAGTTGCTGTACCGAGGGCCGCGAGTTTGAATACCGCACGGAACAAGTATTTACATGTTCTACAAAACCAGCAGGCCAGCAGGTTGGCGGATAATTGCTCGGTAACTGTTTCAGAAATCAGAGACGTAAACAGACTATCGACAGGTGACGTTACTTTTAACGTCACCTGTCGGTAGTCGAACCCGAATAGAATCGAAGGAATCGAATCATATCGATATTAGCTCGATAGCAGCAGCTAATCATTTTGTAGCGGCGCTACGAGTACGCGTGTTTGAATCCCGCTCGGAACGTTTATACTATGCATATAAATGTTCCGCGTCTGGATTTTTGTCCTGGTGCATTTTTGTGTGTATGTAAGGAGAAAATCCTAGTGTAACTTTGGGTGTCATAAGAGGTGACAGGGATGGGCAGCTGCATCTTTCTGATAACAACTAAAAAGAAAAACACTGCCGTTACCAAACCGCCCGCCATGCGTGTCAACTATGGCAAATATCCCCTTATGAGAAAATCTATGGGGTAGGCCTATTTTCGGCAGTAAATTTGATAGGCTGCAAATTTAACATATAAATTAACAAGTATATATGTATTATAAAATACAAACTGAATAGATTATTACTTTTAAATTAATTACTTTTAACTACTATATAGTATATATATTTTTTATAGAAATAGGGTGACAAATGAGCACACAGTCTACCTGATAATAAGTGGTTGCTGAGGCCCATAGACATCTACATCTCTCCCCGTTTGCGAATCAAAATGCAGATGCGTTATCAGCCTTAAGGAGTAAGATGAAATTCCTCGTTCTCAGTAAAAAGGGTCTCCAGTTCTCTACACTCACCATACGAAACACAGCAGCTGTTATTTTACGCCGGTATTCTGTGAGAGCGTGGTCCTTCCACGGTCGAGCCGACCCATTCGTGCTACAACTATACTATAAATATAGCTGCAGCTTGGCTCTACTTCGAACAAAGAAGGCTGCAGATGCATTGAAATCTCTGAGGGCTAAGATGGAATGCCACACAGCCTGTAGTTATACTGGCTCCATATATCCTTCGGTCCGGAAAACGCACAAGTGCACGCACTCCTGCTTGGCGGTAGTAATACGTAAGAGGGTAGTACTCTATTACACGGTAGAGCCTTGACGTAAGATATATAATTCTAAACAGCATCTATCAAAAATGTTGTTGATAATTATCTCCAAAGAGACCAGCTCAATGATGACTATGCAGACGCGATTAAGTATGCAGCCGACGCGTACGTTGAGTCTTCTCCTCCATATCAAACACTTAGCTCCTAAGCGTTATCCACCTCTCACTCTAACAACGCAAAGAAACGATTCAACAGAAAAGGACGAACAAACTGGATCAAGCCTCTAACGAATCAGGGTACGGTGTCACAAACAACAGAAAAGGCGCTCAGAAATAAATAATTCTAAAGCGTGCGTCAAACGAACATCGATGTTAGAACTTAAGCCTTTTCATATCTGAAGCCTTAAAGAGGATTCGTATCAAATAGCTTTCCCTTACACTTCGATCCTGCGCATTCCAAAAGGTCGTAACTACATGATTGGCTCGTACAATGAAAGACAATGCGTACCGGAACTGTGGACTACGTACTGAATTTGAAATAGCTGTATAAAAACCGAGGGGTCCCTCTCGAAACTATCACAATCTCACCAGCTGTCGTCAAGTGAGCAACAAAAAGTAAAAAAACGTCGTAGAAAAAATGACGTCAGCTAAAGTCATTTGTTTAGTTGCCCTGGCTCTATTCGGGAGCGCCATAGGCCAGCCTTCGAAACAAGGTTTCTGGAAGGGCACCCCTATGGATAGCATGGTCGAGGAGATGAGATCTGGATGCGCAGAAGGATCCGACCCAACAGCCTGCATCAAATACAAGGTGATGTCTTTGTTGGACAGCATCTTCAAAAAGGACACATTCCAGGTATTTCTAATTACATCCTTCCAAGCGTTCTTGTTCTTCTTAAATTAACCATTAAAATATTAATTTCAATTCTATTTAACAGATTTCTGAAGCCGTTGAAGTGACTAAGAATGACGCTGGTAACGATGTTACTGGACGCTCCTCTGGCGATTTTTTCGACAGCATTGAGAACTACATTCAATCCCATGATGTGACCTTCAAACTGCCGATCGCTGACACCAAGGTCACCGTGAGCCCAAGAAACCTTGACAATGATGAACTTAGCCTGAACATCAAGTTCAACAAAGAAGGTGCTCGCTCTGTTGGCGAAGCTCGCAAGGCCAAGCTTAAGAAGATCATCGTCCCCATCCTTGTGTTCGTGCTCCTCAAGGCTATGACCCTCATCCCTCTTGCTATCGGTGTCCTCGGTCTGAAGGCTTGGAACGCTCTGCAACTGTCTTTCTTCTCTTTCGTTGTCTCAGTTGCGCTCGCCATTTTCCAACTCTGCAAAAAGGTGAGTTCTAATTCCTAAGAATGTTTGTAAATTAAAAATAAAAACTAAGGCATTAACCTCAAATACAAATTAAGTATTAAATAAACATTTAAAATTAAAATGTAACACTTTATTTTCAATAGCACTCGCTAACTGTAAACAGCACCATATGTTCTACGCACATTATAAACAGCGTTATTAATATTCTGAATTTGTAACAACTTTTTAAAATTGACCTATTGACTAACCATTTATGTATTTAGTCTAAGCCTGCTAACATTGTAGTTTACACAGATCGCGGCTGACAACACGCACCCCCAGATCGCCGCCCACGGACCCTGGGACGCAGCTTTCGCCGCTACACGCCGTAGGAGGGACGCTGAGCCCGAGGAGCTTGCTCAAGAACTAGCCTACAACGCTTACCACTAAATTGCAACGTCTGAACCCACCACAAACGATCAACCCAACCGACGACCCGATAACCGTTCCAAAATATCTGCGAACTTAAAATTTCGAACACGGTTTTCTGAACGGCAACAGTACCAAATAGAAAATGGTTTCCCTGCGAAACTATTTACGTGTAAATACTGTGTAATACATATTATTTATTATGTGTGAGTGTACGCGTGAATGTGTTGTGTGAAAGTTATTTATTTTGCTCAAATAAATCATTGATAAATATCTCATATTGGTATTTTCATTTAATTAATTTCAACCGAGTTACACTGTAAAAACTATTTATAAAGTTATTAATACATTTTAAAATAACTATTCTGGTCACTTAAACTTTCAAATATAACAGCCGTTAAATTAAATAAGAAATGTTGTGTTAATTTTTTATTTTATATTTCCACATATTATAAATTTAAAAATTTAAATACAAATATGTAACTTAATTAAAATAGCGTATAATATATCACAATTTATATTTAACATCATCTTTACAACTATTAAATATATTGTAAATAATAAATAAAGAATTAATGATGGTAGCGATAACAATTAAAAGAAATGAATGATACGGTACATATGTTCTCCTAATTTTATTATTTACTTTTGCGATGAATATTGTTTGTATGTGTAGATTATACGTATAGCTACAAATTATATTATATATACACAGAAAAATCTAGGTCATAGAAATCATACTACTAATTGTGACAACGAAAGCTACATGCAACTTCCGGAAGTCTCACCCTGCATTATAATGATTATACGAGTATACATACATCTATCACGAAAATAAGAGTTTAAACAAGCATTCCGAGTAGAAAAGAAAAGAAAGTAATTGACATCATTTTCTTTTTACACGGGACTTATAAAAAATTTAATAAAAGGAAAATATTTTTTTGCGCTGGACCTGTATAGAATAGAATAGAATCATTTTAATTCAATATAGATTATAGTATATAATACTTATTGAAAGTATTTTTTTTTTAACTTTTACCACTGATTCGCAGAAAAGCCTCTGTTCTGGGAAGAACCAGCAAGAAATCCAGCAGGACTTTTTTTTAAAAAAAGCATAATTTACAATATAATATTTTATACAATTGTTATGAAAACATTTAGAAACAGCATGTTAAGGATCACCTCATTCCCAGGGGTTTTTATCAGTCATGCACTCTTTAGTAGTGTAATAACCCTTACTAGACAATTTTTGCTTAGTAAATATTTTAAACCTTTTGATAGAAAAGGTCTGCAGATGCTGCTGTATGTATATTTGTAGATATGAATGTAATAGAATTTTATAATTTAGTTTTCGCCTACTTTCTGACGTTTACCGGACTGCAATAGCCACTTACCATCAGATGGACTGTAAAAACACACACGCAAACACACACACACACGAATGCTAACACACTCAACACACACTTAGTTCATAAAATTAAATAGTAAATTATGTACTGTTTGAAACATTATTGTTATTTTGAACCTTTATTGTTAATTTAATAGGTCATAAAATTGGGAGAGGGCGCTGATTGCTGAGTTACAAATATAATTCCTAGTTCAGCAATCAGACTTTACATATTCATCGTATAATTATCAATAAAGCTTATTATTATTATTTCTATGTCTTTATTTTTTTACAGTAGAGGAGGCAAACGAGCATGCGGCTCACCTGATGGTAAGTGACTACCGCCGCCCATGAACAACCGCAATACCAGGGGAATTGCAGATGCGTTGCCGGCCTTTTAAAAAGGAGTAGGCTCTTGAAGGTCCCTAAGTCGTATCGGTCCGGAAAAATCGCTGGTGGTAAACTATTCCACAAGGAAGTTGTGCGAGGAAGAAAACATCTTCTAAATCGCACAGTGGTGGACCGCCAATCATCCAGATGGTGTGGATGGTATCGGGAGTTCTGCCGCGATGTGCGTTCGTGAAATTTGGCGGCTGAGATTAATCCAAACAATTCCTCAGAGCACTCCCCATGGTAAATGCGAATTATTATTTTTTCAAGCCTTATTAATGCTAATTATGGGTATTCACCAAGTAAAAAGTATATGGGCATTTTATTAAGTAGGGTGTTCTGGGATATTGGGCGTAACTTCGTTTTCATCTATTTGTAAAAAAATTCTCACGATACGGCACGTATTTAATATGTCGGCTTTTTGTAATTGTATGTATTTATTCTCTTTTATATTTAATAGTTTCAGGCTATGGTGAAGATGTTTTGGGATTACTCCTGTAATTGATAACACAATGGGTACTATATATATTTTTTCTTGTCTCCAAATTCTGCTAACTTCGTTTTGGAGATCTGGATATTTGTGGATTTTTTCTGTGATTGTTTTATTATTATTAAAAGTTCGTTTGTTACTTCAGTTTTAGAAATCTTGAAATCAGTTGTATGAGGTTTTTAAACTTTAATATGATTATTTTAGATTTATTCCTGTACACATAAATTGGCACATAGACAAACATAGATTCTGAACGTAGTAGAGCCCAGCTGTAGCTATTTTGTTATGGTTGTAGCACGAATGGGTCAGCTCGACCGCGGAAGGACCTCGCTCACACAGAATACCAGCGTAAAATAGCAGCTTACTGCTGTTGTATTTCGTATGGTGAGTGTAGAGTGCCGGAGACCCTCTTTACAGGATATTTTTATGATTATCAGTATTCCATCTTAGTGCTCAGGACTCAGGGGTGACAACGCTTCTGCATATTGATTATTCGTCATCATCATTTCATCATCACAGCCCTTCAAAGTCCACAGGTTGAAATAGCCCTCCCCAAAGGAATGCCACAAAGCACGATCCTGAGCCACCTGTATCCATCGACTTCCTGCATGTCTTACTAGGTCGTCATTCCATCTAGGAGGGTGTCGTCATACACTTCGCCTATCGATACGAGGCTGCCACTCGAGAACCTTTTTCCCGATCGATTGTCGGTTCTTCAAGGTATATGGCCGGCCCATTGACACTCCACCCGCTTGCCAAGCGTGGCAACTATGGCAAAAATTCCCGCTATGAGGCAACCTATAGGGCAGCCCTACGTTCAGCAGAAGACTAATAGGCTCTAATGGTGATAACGCTCATAACGCCATCTATCGGAAGTTCTGAGAACTTTCTGACATTTCCAATTGTCGTCTCTCACGATACCCATGCCACGAAATCCATTACCCCAATGGATTCTCCTACATAGCCACTATTTATCAATTGTAACACGAATGGGTCGGCTCGACCGGGGAAGGAACACGCTCTCACAGAATACCAACGCAAAATGGCAGCTTGACACTGCTGTGTTTCATTATTATGGTGAGTGTAGAGAACCGGAGACTCATTTTACTGGAAAAGAGGCATTCCATCTTAGTCCTCACGGGTGACGACGCATCTGCATTTTGATTCTTTATTGAGGATAAATGTAGATGTCTATGGGTCACACCAACCATTTACCATCAGGAAGACTGTATGCTCGTTTGTCACCCTATCCTACAAAAAAGAAAAAAAAACTTTTATGACACATTTTATGTGAAATAAACTATCAGTAATAAAAATTGTCGATATAGTTTTATGGCATCACTGCGAAACTTAGCACCACATACTACGATGACCATAACGGATAAGTATCTCGATAACCATGCTTAGTGTCTCCCAACGGATAGGTCTCTCGATAACCATGCACTAAATTCCACGTCCATATCACACCTATGTCGGTAATTGTTGGAATAGGAAACACTACGCTGGACTAGAAGTTTAGTGAGGAAGGAAAGCTCTCGACCAGCCTCGCACCGGTATAATCTGCGTAGGTACTGCGAGGGGGGGGAGGGGGGAACTGAGGTGTTTGTGGTCCCAATGTCATAGTTAAGCACGGCTACCTCAAGATTAAAACTGACTAATCTAAGAAGATTATTTAGTTTTAGACGAGTAGAGAATCTAAACGACGGTTTAGATTCACAATAGACCCGGTAGGTGGCGCTGTGGACGAGATCCAGTAATCACCCGTGCGAAACCAGGGCGGATCGCTAGTGTTCCATATTATCTTTGAGAGATATGAACAAGCTAAGTTTGTAAGTGTCTACATTCCATATAAGTTCTTATTTTTTTTATTCTATATTCTTAAGTTTCATTCTATTTATTTAACTTTTTTCAGCTAGACTACTATACTGATGCTAAATGGTGACGGAACTGAAGATGGTGAAACGCACTGACTTAGATTAACAAAAGTCTATTCACTCTTGCTATTACGACACCCACATTATAATCGAATGGAAAGACATATACAGGCAAATTATTTAATTATTTTAACTTTTATTACTTCAATTTTTTTTTAAATTCCAAAATAAACAAATTTTATCAAATACCTTTAAAATACATAAGTTAGAAGAGGAAAAAATACCTTTCGTTAGAAAACAAAATGTCGTTACTTTATTATATATTATTTTATTATTATGGACTCTTTCTATTTAATAGAATTTTCCTGCGCCTGTTGGCAAGCGCCTTGATCGGACTATTGACACATCTATACAAATAAATAAAATTGAAGTCTGTTTGTAATGTTAAAATAACAACTTTTTACTAAATGCATATGAAAGTATATACGGTACTTATAACAAAAACGAAACAATTTAATAATTTTTGTCGGTCTGTCTGTTTGTTCCAGCTAATCTCCGAAACGGCTGGACCAATTTTGACTGGCCTTTCACTGACAGATAGCTGATGTTATAAGGAGTAACTTAGGATACTTTTATTTTAGAAAAATAATTAGGGTTCCGCGAAAAAAGAAACCATACAATCGTAGTAAATTACACGCGGGCGAAGTCGCGGGGTACAGCTAGTCACAAATAAAAACGCTGCCTTTCTTCACCGTCATGGCTTGGCATTTTCTAAACGTTTATTTCGCAATCTTTTTTGACATAAATACTTTTCCCTTCCCTGTATTCTTTAACTTTAAGAATTGAAATATTTTTTATTTGTTGCTATTTGTTATAAATT